AAAGACAAAAAAAGACAAAAAAAAAAAAAAAAAATTTCTCCCATATTCTAAAAAGGAAAAATGCGAACCTCATGCGAACTTGCTTCTAGATTTCTCTTTCCTTCCTTCTATTTTCATTTTCATTGTTATTCAATTTGGCATTCACAGCTGCAAGTCTATTTAAATACCTCTCTGTTAAATGTGACCTACTATGGCTTTCTCTCAGTTCTTATTTTCCTTTAAATCTGATGCAGTAATTCTTAAAACGTTTCTTTTGTGGCACTACTTCTGCCTAGTTTGCCTTCTGTTTTTTATTGCTGTATGTTATCCTTTACTCTTAACTTCATTTCTTCATTGATTTTCTCAACAGATATTTATTGAGTGCCTACTTCATGCACAATCTGTACCAAGATTCTAAGATTCTGTTTTCTGTTTCCTTCACTAAAACCTCAGCACTTTCACTTGGCAATCTCACCCACTCCAAATCCCATTTTGTGTCTTTAATTATAACTATCCACTGAATTTCATTCTTATGGTTTCATTTACTCTTTGCTCCTCGGGTTCTCTACCTGTTTCTCAAACTCCACAGTTTTCAAATGGATGTTATTTATATTCACCCAACAGTACATTTTCCTAAATTATGTATATCTTCTATGTCATTTTCCACTCACTCAGGCTTTAGGATTCAAACTTATCTTTGTTCTATTTCTTAAACCTGTCTCCAGTTTTTATTCTTATTGCTATCATTTGTTTATGGTTGTTTTACTTCTTCCCTGGGGTATCATGTGAAGCCTTAACTTTAAAAAAATTTTTTAATCACTTTTTAAAATTTCTTAGCCCCATTGTTCAAACCTCTCTAAAAACTGCCTCAATCTTATTTTCCAGCTATTCTTCCATTATCTGGTTTTGTGCCCTCTGTCCATCTAGATCATCTTCCCTACTTGTGCTTTTCTTTTCCCACCTGCATGACCATGCAAAGACCACTCCTGCCATACCATGCAATCACTTTCTGTTTATCTGTGCTCATACACCCCCATCCACCCTTTGAGGTCCAACACAAATGCCACTTTTTAAGATTTTCTTTATCTTTCATCCTCCCAGATATAATCTCTCCTCCATAGTACAGCAGAAAATTGTCTTTCTTTTTTCATTCATTTTACGGTACTTTGTATTTCATCTCACTCACAAGGTTTTGATGTCCTTGAGGACAGAGACTTGTGACACTCCTACTTATATTTTACAGGATACTGAATATACCACCTTACTTAATAAGCATATGCTAAAGGAATAAATTAGCTAAGATCTCCCTCTCTTCAAAAGTGATTACTTATCACTGCAGTACATCAGTGAAGTCATAAACTGTATATCCTGGCTGAATAGCTAGTCTTCAAGAAGAATACAAAGTATCGCTTTGTGTGCAGATAATTTCTCTTTCTCTCTCATACATTTGTTATGTTCAGGAAGCACCTCCTCTGAGCCAGGCACTGGGAGAGAGTGGAACCAAGTCATGAGGATACAGTTTTTTTCCTCTGAGATGTTTACTGTCTCTGAGACTGATGTACATGCAAATGGTTACAATGTAAAGTAAAAGAAAATTTAAGTGGGAACTTGTATGAAAAAGATTTTCCAAATATAAAAATTACTAAATGATGAATGAGTTTATAAGCATACTTTTGTGGAGTATTCTTTATAAAACCTCAAAAAAATCAGTTAGCTATCCTAGTACATCTCTGAAATTTGGTTTAGCAAACAAGTGATGAGTTTTCTTGAGCTAGCCTCAAAATGTTAAAATCCTTGTAGAAATAGTATATTTACTTCCAATAAAGCCACTCAGGCTTTCAAAAACTCCAGTTTGCTCCATTGGGGCTGGAAATTTGAGTCACAAGTGAGTGTAAGTTCTAATATAGTAAACAAGGCTTGCTTGATGAACAAATGTTTTGAAGACATGATGAAAGGGAATTTAGTGTTTTCTTTTTCTTTTTTTTTAAGTTTATAATGAGCTAACCTATGTTAAGAGATGTAATCTTTGTTATAATCCATACATGGTAGGTCCTTAGTATATGTTGGCTAAGTGACAACAGTTGGAGAGCCCACTTGTTAATGAAGTTCTACAAAATAGAGATTTTTTAAATTTAGCTTTGGAAAGAAAAGGCCAGTAAAATATAGGAGAGTACATGCTACTTGAAATGTTTAAGTGGGCAACATAGACATATTTTCTAAAAGTTAGTTGAGTTATATAATACAATGATATTCGTGAATTAGGTGATACATAACTTTGGACTATTGATTGTATTTCTAGGTTTTATTTCCCATTCGCCCTCTGCACCAGCTTGACCCAGACAGGAAAACTGGTACATTCTTTATGATTAGAAAGTATTCTTATGTCATTAGACCATGCTAGATTGATAGTTTTTATAGCCCAATAACAGACTAGTCATTACCTGGAGGGAAACACTTAAATCATCTAAAGATGGCTATTCTGTTCTGAAGGGAAGTTTGAGTTGACTGCTTGAAATTCTAGGTCTCAATTCCCAGGTAGCAAGGGTTAGTTTTGCTGAAAAATTGACAGTTTCCACACTTGGGGTTGGTAGATTAGATTGGAAAATGTATTGGAGGAGAGCTTGTCAAGGAAATTCAAAAAGCAGAGCTGATAGGCTCTGAAGGAAATTCTAACCTGGTCCCCAGATTGAATCATAAATGCTTATGCTTTATGGACTTACACAGTGTGCGGAAGATAAAGACGAAGAAGCAAAAGAAAGCAAAGAGTAGAAGGTATGGGAGGAAAAAATACCAGAAGAGACATAAAACCCTATGGTTTTCCAGCTCATCATTTGTTTAGATGAGAATAAAATACCATTTGGGGAGCAATTTTGGTGGTGATTGAAATTTTTTGAGACACTTCTTTAATGGTGATTCGTGGAGCTTGAGTATGGTATTGCATTAAAGTCCCAGAGTTATAGGAAAAAATTTTAGTAACAAATACTTCTAGTAACAGATAATTTCTCTTTCTCTCTTACCCATTTACTATGTTAAGGAGTGTATTGGAAATTCATTGTTGTGTTTCTGGACTGACTGCAGCAGTCCAGACCCAGACTGGATAAGTCTATATGTGTGATTCTTCTGATTCTCTTGTAAAAAGAGACACTTTGTAAGAAATAAGTTATTGTAGTTGTGCATTTGTGATGAGTATGATGTGAAATATGTAGTCATAAAGGAATTTTCCTGTCAAAGCCAGGATATCATTTACATTTGAACATTTGCTGCCTGCTTACAATCTGCTGCTTCGTAGTTAAAACAATTTAGCATGGATTGAAGTATTTTCTTGAAGGCATTTATATATTTTACATACAGATTTGTGATCATCCAAGCTTCACCATCATTACTTGGAATGATTCATATTGATTACATGTCTGTCTTTTAGCACTGACATTGTTCTACAATGTTATAATAATGGTTCTCAAAGTGAGGTAGACTCTTTTAAGTCAGTATTTTCTTCTATTACCCTAAATATTTATATTGATCACATATTTTTACTTGCATGTGGATATATATGGCTAAATTCAGCCTCTAAAATAAATAGACAGAAAATAAAAATAATTAGCCAGGTTGAAATAATACTGATAGCTAACACTTCTATAGTACTTACTGTTTTTTCAGACACAGCTTGGACTGCTTTATATATGTTAATACATTTATGCTTCAGAACAACGACATTAAATAGAACTAGTGTTACCTACATGTTACAAGAGAGAAAAGGGAGGAACAGAGAGATTAAATAATTTTCCTGAGTAAACATGGTGAGTAAGTGGCAGAGCCAAGATGTGAACCCAAGCAGTCTAGTTGCTTGGTACTCTCTACTCTCCACTCCTACAGCTTAATTATTCTTTGTTGAGCTAGGAGTAGAGTAAGAATCTATGTTACTCCAAAGTTATATTTCAATATAATTATTGATTAACATGGGTATCCTTTCTGTACCAAATTATGAGCTTGTGAGTTTAAGACAATGTTTTATTAACTTTTTTATATATAGTGCTTGATGAAATGTTGATGACTCCTGAACTATAGCTAATTATTGACCTGAGATGTTTTGTCCAGGAAACTTCTATTTTGCAGTGGTAGGTTTTATATCCATAAAACCTTCAGATCCACAAATATTTTGCAAAACAAAAAAATGTAATTATTATCTGTAATTGGGATATCATTTTCATAGTTTTCTTGTTTCTTAATTGTTTTTTAAAATAGAATAGTATGAATGGAGTAGACTATTTTTGATTGATATTGGACAATTTTAGAATCATGATACTTGGTTGAAATACTTTTCTTTTTAATGCTTTCTCCTACAGGGTGCTGCTTTAATTAGAATGCTGGCTAATTTTATGGGTCATTCAATTTTTCAGAGGGGTTTGCAAGTAAGTAAAAATGCTTTATATTTTCACTTATATGTTTTCTTGTCAATATATTTATTTTAAGGACATTTCACAGCTTGAGAAGTTGCTAATACAAAATTTCTGAATTTGATGAAAAACTTTTAGATATATAAGGTAAGCAAATGTCTTTCTGTGTGACAAATGAAAGTTGTAGATAGGCTACTCACTGTATCAACAGACAAAACTTGAACTGTTTAATTTGCATTTTAAATTTAGATAATTTTCAAATATGTTTGAACCTAAATAGTCCTATATAAGACTTTCAGAAAGCCTGCCTTCCTTTTCTTCCATTTAAAAGTTTATATAAAGTATAAACAAATAATGTCAACCTTATTAGAATTATGTATTTGAGAGAAACTCTTAAGGCTATTTTTCAGATATGTACCTTTTATATTGTTGCTTTATTATTGACATACATAGATTGTTATTTGTTTCAATGTTTAAATGTTTTTATTTCAATTGGAAAATACATTTAAATAGAAAAAAAAGGAAGAGAAAGAAACAGTTTTATTATACTACATTTAGAGTATGATGTACAGAATCTAAGAATTCTTAGAAAAGGAAGATCATTAAACTCTTTAGAGCAGACACAAATATAGAAAAATAAACTTTTATTCTATTGAATCTGCTTGAGTAAATCATGTTTCTAGTAGCTGTGATTGATGAATTATTTATGATGCATTCTGCTACTTAGAAGTGTCCTTTAAAGTAAATTGATGTTCACCTGAAATACAATTATGCTAAGACAGAGAGAGCAATCAATCTTATCTGTTCTTAGTAAGCTTTTCATTTTGAAATTTAAATAAACTACATCTGGGATCAGGTCATATTTTAGTAGTATAATTCTATCTTTACCCAAAACAAACTGAAAGATAAAATATAAAGCAAGAGTTAAATATGTTATGACAGACTATATATACTTAATGCTGCAAAGATGAAAATATATAAATTTCTTTAAGAATAATTTCCCTTGGAAAATACTTTTACAAATTTATTTCAGCAGGGGTTGAAATTTAGTCCAATCAGCTCTTTCTATTAGCAACACCTTCAGATTAGCCGAATCCATTGGACTTATTTGCCAGGTGCTAAAGTCTCTATTCTGATCACAGAGTTGGGAATATCTTTTTTTCTCAAGGAGTGCCCTCCATGAATGTCAGCTACCTAGAGGAATGTCCTTCCTTATTCACACTCCTTTGTTTTTCCCCATTGAAGTTGTAGCATGACAGTTCCAGAAAATATCTAAGCTTTCATAAGGGCAACACAAATTGAATTTGATTTCCTGGTAGCAAGTTGATGTGAAATCATTTTATTTGTACAGTTTTTATTGTTTTTCTTCATCTATGTGTATGGATTTGTTCAGCAGAGTGAATAACTATAGTTATATTACTTGGAGGATTATTGTTTTGCAGCATTTTTCTTTATCCTGTCATACTTTCTATGGTGTGTTAATATATCAATTTTTAATACATCCTTTTCCACTGACCCAATCTGTTCAGTTTTATCTGAAACTTTCATTTGAAGCTTGTATTAATGTGTGCCTTCATGCTCTGATACTTGATTTGGTTAATTTTCAACTGAGGGACTCTACGTTTGTCAACACTGCATTTCATTTGCCTTGCGACATCTCATTGATCAGATAGATCTGTAGCCTTCAGTACTTCACTTGCAGCTTCATTTATACTCATCGCTCAAACTGATTTAGTGTATCATCAGCAGTTTGGATTAGTTTACAGTAGATCCCTATGTCTAGGTGATAAATTATCATCTCTTGTGCATGAAGATGTATGAGATACATTTTGGAGATGACCTCTTGAACAGACACTTCATGTCATGGTGCTGAGTGGTCGCAGAGTTGATATTAATATGCTTCCCATCCATAAAGCTCTAGGGAGTCTTGGTTTAGAAGTTGTTGAAAGGGCTGATATGGACTGTCAGCACTTATCTCTGCTGAAAAATCTATTAATTGTTTTTACATTAACATGGCTATTTCTATGTTGACAAATGAAAGTTTATTACTTGCAAACAGACCTGGGGTTAGATTTACAGGTAAAGGCAAACTCAAATTGCAAATAGTGTGTTTTTCATATATTTTTTCCATTTACCAAAATGATAGCAGGCATATTTTGGGAAGCATGAAGCAACGGAATAAGCAGGGAGAAATGATTCTCATTTCTATCTCTCCAATAAATGGTGGGCTTTCTATAAGTCACTGAGCCTCTTGTGGCCTCTGACCTTATAGTTATAAAATTTAGGAGTTGGACTAAATACTGTAAGGTTCTTTGCATTTTTTGTATTCTCCGAATCTTTGATTCATTTAATGTTGTTTACTAGTTACACAATTTGGGTTTGATATCTCTAATTTGGAACAGCTGTTTTAATTTAATGGGAAAATTTGTCAACTAAATGTGTGAGAATGAGTGTTCTTGAATCTTCAGTTAATCATCTGAATATTAAGACTGTATGGCTGTCAATGTATATATAGTCAAACCACCAGACCAGCGTTTGTTATTACAGAGAGTTTTTGCTGGTATTTTACTAGTATTAGGAAACAACTTACATTTCCCTGGCTTTTTAGTTACCTGTTCACTTTCATATTTTGCTCTACATGCTTTACATTTTTGAGATTAAGCTACAGTTGTTTTAGATGACATTTGCTAAGGACTTTTTGAAATTTCTTAGTGATTTTCAGTGTATATGCCATCTTTTCTGAGGTCAGAATTTCTATTCGTACTCCTGAAATCTGCTGGAATCAACTTTACTTACAGGTCTGATGGAATTCAGGTATATTGGAGGTTGGTCTTGAGAAGAATCAGCATCCCCAAGGGGATGGATGTCATTATAGAGAATTCAAGCAAGGGGAAACTTACCTTAGCAGAGACAAGAAGGGCTGATTTGGATGCTAAGGGAGACTCAGTGGATTTTAGACTTCGGAGACCTTCATTCTAATTCTCAGTGTCCTACCTACACTTTGTCAATCAATATGCTAACTTTCACATAAAAGTCCTAATAAAGCCATGAAATTTACTTGAGTTGTATTTTGCCACTCAGAATTTCAAACCATAGTCTGTTTTTCAGAAATTTTGTTTCTAAGGCTATAAGAGATATGAGTACGAGACTCTTTTAGCATAGCTATAGATCTCTGCTTCTCTGCCATATCTACCTTCAGCTAAGAATTTAAAGCATCAGGGCTATTGTTTTCATTTTGTAATCTCTCAAGTCCTGTCTTGAAATAGTCCTTCTTAAATTACTTTGTAATTCTCTATTGAGCCATATTGTGTTTCTATTGAAACAGTCATTTGCTTTTCCAAAGGCTGTTCTTCAGTTTAGGAAATTATGGATGATAATTTGAGAAACGGTTTTGGCCCTGGAAAACATGAATCACTGTGGTCCTATTACCCATTATCAATGGTATTGCCTCCTTTAAATCTATCTGATGTGGACAAGCAATTTTAGATAACCATCTTTGAGGGTCTGGAATCATTCCTGGTATGTAATTCAGTAGCAAACCACAACAATTCTATGTATTTCAGACAGAAGGGAATTATCATTGGGTATATGCATTTTCTAAAACTGTTGGAGAAAATTATGTTAAGTGATAATAAGCCAGGCACAGAATGAGAAATACCCCATGTCCTCACTCATAACTGGGAGCTAAAAGAGAAAGAAGGAAGGAAAGAAAGACCACAGTGGTGTGTCAATCTTGTAGAGGGAGAGAACAGACGTAGGGTTACTGGGGTGGGGGGAGGGGAGGGAGAGGAGTATAAGGCAGAGGTTGGGTGGCAGACATGGGGACTAATTGCAGTTTGAGGTGGTGGGCATGCTGACAGCATTGATTTGCTCATGACATCTGGGGCACAGATGCTGATGGTCAGCTTTTGCCCCATTAATATGTATAACCAATAAAAAATTAAAATAAAATAAAAAAATTTGTAAGGCTATATGTTGGGGAGAAATTATGAAAATCAAACCAACAATGACCACATTTTAATCACTTCATAACTATAGTCCAGTTGCCTGTGGTCTGTAAACTCTAGTCTCCTCTTTGAATGAGTGGATTTAGTTATGTCAGGGTCAATCAGTACCAGTAACATGCCTAAAAGTTTTAGATTTCTGAAGTTATTACTTCTAAAATAAGGAGCTGGAGAAAAGATAGGGGAGTTTACTACTGTGAGGAATTATTTTGCTTTTGGTTAACTTAAGAATTACAGAGTTGGTTTGCATAATCACACTGCTGGCTCCTTAGTCTACTTCCCCAGGTGGGCTGACCCTCCAGGGATATGGTGAGTGCAGGGAGAAGAATCTAAACAGCAGTTGGCCTAAATTGCTTTTGATTTAAGATCAACGCTACATAGGACATCTGGAAAGTAAGCTTATGTATTTTCCCTGCCTAGGATTTTTTCCTAGCAGTGATTGCAGTGAGTAATGATGACTAAGAAAACAACTGCATGAGACATTACCTACTGGGACTTAAACAGAGTCTGTGAGAAATGCAGTAGGAAAGTCAGCAGTAACCAGAAACTATCTTGCACACAGGCTCAAGTTATACTTTCTATATATAATGTAATTCTTACCTTTAGCAACTCAGTTTTGTCTGTAATATAAATATCTCTAAATTTCTTCCTAGGTCATTCTCTAAGGAAAATCTAGCAAGATCACAAGTGGGCTCCATGTCTATTTAATATTTACACTATTTGAATGTGGTTTTCTCATTTTAATGACACAAGCATAAGTCAAGTCCTTACTGGTGGGGCACTGAGCTGAAATACATTAATGGTAACCTCATTTCCATCTGCTTTTCCACTTGGACAAACTTCAGCGTCCAATGTTGTTATTGTCCAACGTTATTTTCTGCATGGTACCTGGAATGCAAAGATACTGCAGTTTTGTTGTCCTTTTTTTCTGTCTCTCTAGAAGTTCTCAGTGATTTTAAATATCCCCCTAAAATCTTCCTAGCTTTTATAAATAAATGCTTCCTCTAAATT